CGCACTACCATCCAGCTTATGATGTTATCAGCGGACTTGTGAGTTTTTTCAGTTCTTGTTTTCCAAAATTATTTGAAATTCTATATCATATTACTAATTCATGGATGATTACTGCAGGCAGGGGATATGGGTGCGATGGTTGATGCACTTTCAGATGCCTTAGCAGCCGTACCCACCAGAGCCCAGGTTGAGCGGGTGCGAGATATGGGCATACATAGCTTGCAGAGATATGGCCATGGCCATCTCGTCCACCCCAGGGACGATCATGACCCCAACTCCTTCCATTCACAGTTCGACTTCGGACAGAGTAGTGGTGGAGGTCATACTTCGGGCTCTACACAGGCAGAGGATTACTTCATCCATAACACCGCTCCCGGCCACAGCCAGGGTGACTCATCGTCTCGCCAGCTGAATCCTCCATCGCCCCGAGACCCATTCACCACTATTCAGCATTACACGAGGCGTCCGAGGTGTGTTCGTAGACGGACTGAGGACACACAGGATGGAGATTAGTTAACTCCAATACATGAGTCCGGATAGTATTAGTTAGTTGATCCTTTTGTGGTACTCAGATATTTAACAATGTTGTATATAACGCTTACATTATTAATACAAGAAATGTTTTCTAAATGTCTCTCTGTACAATTTGAAGTTTATTTCCCTTATTTGTCCGAATTTGACTTTTGTTAGTGAAACTATATCTTTTATATCTGTTATATGTATCAAGCAGCATATATTTGGTCTCCTGCACTTAAAGTGCTGTTTCACGATGGTTATCATGATGTTGGGGTTGTTTCCAGTGTTTGATGGTTGTCGGTGGTGGTCGATGGTGGTGGAAAGGTTGGGGTTGGTGGTGGGAATGCTCTTGCGTTGTTTAGGGTGTTTTATGGTAGTTTATGGGTGGTTGAGAGTGGCGGGCGGTGGTGGTGGGGGAGGTGGTTGATGGTGGTGGGGGTGGTGGTTAATGATGGTGGTGGTGGGAATGTCCTTGCGTTGTTTAGGGTGTTTTACATTGCATAGGGGTGGTCGAGAGTGGCGGCCGGTGGTGGTGGGGGAGGTGGTTGATGGTGGTGGATGGTGGTGGGGGTGGTGGTTCAAGGTGGGGCTGAGCTGATGCTGTTGGGTGAGGGTTATGTGTAGGGGCAGCAACGGATTGCAGAAACTGCTGCTGATGTAGTGTAGCAGATGCTGCTGGTTATGCAGTCTAGCAGAAAAACGCTGCCTGAGGCAGCGTTTTATGCTTTAACATAAAACGCAGCCTCAGGCAGCGTTTTATGCTTTAACATAAAACGCAGCCTCAGGCAGCGTTTTATGCTTCAAATAAAACGCTGCCTCAGGCTGCGTTTTATGCTTCAACATAAAACGCTGCCTCAGGCAGCGTTTTAAAGCCCATATACATATTCCAATATAATTGGCAAAATATACTAGTATATTTTGCCAAAATACATACCAACAGGTCAACAAGGTAAACAAACAATTAAATTGAATAATTATTAAGAAAGTTTAGACTAGATTTGGGACCAAACCCTCAGAAATCAAACCTTTCACGTCTAGGGCGAAGGCAACTTTGAATTTGGCTAGATGTTTCTAGATCTTGTGAATCCGAAATTTTGTATTTGAGAAAAGGCTAGTTTAGAAAAGAAAGAGAGCGAGTATATCAAGAATTTCTTGATGAGAGTTGGTGATTGAAAACGGAGGTTTTAGGAGGCTATTTAGAATGAAAATCAGCCGTATATGATAAAAAAGAATCAGAGTTCTGAAAAGAATAAAACAGGACGTTGTCGCCAAACACGCCCCTGTCACCAAACGACAGAGCCTGTCGCCAAGCGACAGACGTGTCGCCGCGACGCCAGGCTTGTCGCCAGGCGACAGACTATATAGTGCGATGCTGCAGACAGTTTTTCCACACGTTTTCTTATTTTGATAAAATTTAAGCGCACGAAGGGTAAAACTATAATTTCCTTAAAAACACTTCTTTTATTCTAAATAAAACTCTTAAAACTCAATTATCAATGCTAATCACATTAGGATTCAGAAGAACCTTCTAGAAGATTCTAGAAGACTATAATCAATCCTAATTGCATTAGGAATGATAAATCATAATAGGCCCTCCTCTAGATCATTGGGTCGCATATAAAAATCAAACCGGGCCCAGTTTAGCAATTTGGCCATAACTTCCTCATTATTCATCGGAATTGGGCTTATAATATATCGTTGGAAAACTCTTTTTGAACCCAATCCAACTACACCATTATTGGACCCTTACCATGGACCAATCTAAACTAGATTTGATATTTTCATAAAATAGGTTTTCAAAAACAGAGAGAAAGAAAAGAAGTAAAAACTAACTGCAACACTAGACTTTCCACACTTTCACTTCATTCGATTATGATTCAACGTGAAAGGCACTCATCACCGAGTTTTGTTTTGGGGAGACACAAATGGGTGTCTACATCACGGTTTGAGAGTATTATTGGTTGATTCTAGGATAAAGCATGCTAAGGTAGTTGTTAGAACTAGTGGGACCATGAAACTTGATTATACTTGTTTGTGGCATGATGATAGTTGCTTCTTATAGTCGATTTGACACCAATAGTGAGTTTTTCCTACATCCATGTGAGGTTCATTATTTATCAAGCCTTCAACACATATTTTCTTGAGCGACATGGATCATTGACTATTGCGGACCTAATCTTGAATCTTGACTCATAATTCTTAAACTCGAGATTGAGCCATCTAGGGAGAACAAAGGCATCTTTTCGGGGTGGTAATTTTTCTTTTCTAGGTTAATTTTCATCCTTTTTAGTTCAATGGGTTTACATTTGCGTTCTTGCTAACCATTTGAACCTTTTCCCTTCTTTTCAAGCCACATCTGTAGAAATTTGAGCCTTTTGTTTCTTTTTGTTCCATTTTTGGTTTTTGTGAAGCAATTGATCATTATTATTGGAGTTTGTGGTGGAGGAGTTTGGATATTTGGTTCTCTTGAAAGCAAGTTTGTGTTGTGATTTTTGTGTAAAATAATGGCGCGCAAATGAATAAATGAAAAAAAAGTCGTCCAAAGTCAAAAGAAGCAAGGACATAATAAATACAAAATTGAAAAAAGTCGTCAAAAGTTAAAAGAGGCGTGGACATTTGCTTTGAATATATGAAGAAAAAAAAGTGAAAATGAGAAAATTGAAAAATATTTTGATGTGATTCTTTTCCCCTTTTCAAGCATTGAGGACAATGCTTCCTTTAAGCTTAGTGGAGAGGCGTTTACGCTTTTTGTATATATGCTTGTGGTTATAGCTTTGAATAAGCTTGGGGGAGTTAGTTTGTTTTTGTTTGGCGATTGCTTGGTCATGAGGAGAAGGTTTGATCACCCTTTGCTTCACTAATTAGGAATACCGCCAAATTCAAAATTTTAAGCCTATCCTCACCCTTTTTGCCCTTACGTGACAACCATTGGGAAAGACCTTTCGACCTAGAGGTTGAGTCATATACCGAGGGAGGGAATTATTAATTAAAGCCTTAGGTGAGGGGATGCAATGTCAAGACGTCGAGTAGCCTAAAAATTATTTCTTTTTCTGGTTCCTTCGTAGAATTTTTGAGATGCTCACTAGGGGAAGATACGAGACTAGTAGCGAGAACGCGTTAAGACCATTTGGTATGAAAGTGGATTGCGTTTCTCTAGTTCCTATTCTTAGCATATTTATGTTTCAATCAACCTCGGGTATCTTGAAATGTGCACTCCCTTACTTGTTTAGAAAGATTTGCATTCATTTGTGCTTGTGCATTTGGAAAAATCCTTTCATGAACATGTGTTTGCTTTTCTTTTATTTTGATTTCCTTCTCACGCTTTGCCTTGTTTGTATTATTATGAGATTTATAGGTTAATCTCTTGTGAAACCTTTACGAGAGCATCACTCGTCCTCTAGGGCAATCTAAGGGTTTAAATGTCTTGTCATTATTTGCTAAAATTGACCGTGATTCCTACGAAAGTGAGTTAATGTATATTCCTATCCTCTCTAGTTTTTTTGTTTCTTTCTTTACGTGAATAATGTCATCATTTTTCCCTTGGGTTGGATTTTGTTTTGCTCGAGAACGAGCAAAAGTTTAGCTTGGGGGAATTTGATGAGGGTCATTTATGGCGCACAAAAGAATAAGATTAAGGTCCTTTTTCTATATTTTCTTTTTATATTTTCATATAATTTTCTTGGTTTTCCAATTTAATAACTCATTTTGGGTTTTGATTAGTTTTTATTAGTTTTTCATGATTTTAGTCCTTAATTCATAGTTTTTCATGATTCTAGTTTTTATTAGTTTTTCATGATTTGTCTCTTATTTCTCCCTCATGTTCACTTGTTCATGTAGGCAGTGGCGGATTCAGGATTTAAATAATAGGTTGTCCCATCCCATCATCGTCCACCGACCGCATAAAATATCAAAAAATAGTCAAAGCTTGAATGATGGACAAAAAAAAAAATTGTTCATTTCATAAAGTAATTCAAATTCATATTACAACTAAAAAAGTACTAATTTTATTACAATTGCTCTCGACGAGTTTTCATATTTTGATAATGATGTATAATATCATCCATGCTAACATTGTAAAACAAATCTCTTTCTAGATAAGTAATCAAACAATCATTCAACATTTGATCTCCCATGGTATTACGCAATTTATCTTTAACTTGCGTCATTCCAGAAAATACTCTTTCTACACTTGCCGTTGCAACGGGAAGAATCAACACTAACTTCAAAAGTAAGTAGACTCGGTCATGAGTTTCAAACTTTCCCGTCTCAACAAGTTTCGTAGAAAGTTCACTTAGACTTTTCAAATTCCAAAATCTCTCATCATTTCGAACATCAACAATGAAATTTTCAAGTGAATGTTCAAAAAATAATAACTCAGAGCTTGAAAATTCACCGGGATAAAATCTAGCAAGTTGAACTAACTTTCTTTTGTCAAAAGAATGAAACCGATTTGCAGGATTAAAGCAAGACATACACACAAGTAATTACTTACTTACCTCGGAAAATCGATTTTCAAGTTCTTGTAATTGAAGATCAATGACACTTAGAAAAACTTCAACTCTAAAATGATGAAGATTAGTCACATGTGGACCTTTACCTCTATACATTCTTCTCCCAGGAACCACATATCGCCCCTCCATGTTTGGAACCTCAATGTCATATTTAGCCATAAAAGAAGTGACTTTTTCCATATGTGAATCCCATCCTTCATCTCTCAACTTTTGCAAACTAGTCTTGGTTACATCAACCATGACCATTGCATTTACAATATCTTGATCATGTTTTTGCAATGCCACATTAAACGCATTTGTAATGCCAAATATATCAACTATCAAGTGTGCCACAAACACAAAATCAAATGACATCAACAAGTGTGTAATAGATTGTGCTTTATTCGAATCAAGTGTATCAGATACTTCTGCAATGGAATCAAGTGACAAAAGTATTGAAGGATATAAATCAAGCACATTCAAAATGGTTTTAAAGTGAGATCCCCAACGAGTATCACAAGGTCTACATAAGCCACGTTCTTGATTTAAACCAGTTCCCGATTCAATTTCACCCAAAGATAATGCTTCTACAACCCCTTAATAATTGTGAGATAGGGAAGATTAATAATATCAAGTGCACTTAATCTTCCTTCACCAATTTGAGCACTAGGATCCGAACCACCTTGGGGAAAAGATTGCCCATCTTCATATTGAGGGAAATTGTGAGATAGGGAAGAATGTTGTTCAGTAGCATGATGTAAAGGAGTACTTGGTTCACTTTCTTGAAAGGGTAAAAAAAATTTTGGAGGAGGATCATTTTGTAGAGGAGGAGGATTTAGAGTAGGCACTTTTTTAGTAAAAAAACTTGAAATATCTTGAGTTATTTTTCTTTTCATTCTGAAATTGAAGTTAGGTTGAATTAGATAAATCATACAAGTAGAGTTCTCTCAAGGTTATTAAAACTAATAATATCATCAAAAAAAACGCCCATTAACCTCAATTTCAGTCTACCCTTCAACCCCAAATCTCCAAATTAGCAATCACCATTCTCAATAGCTAATAAGCAAGTTTGACAACTATTATCATTTATCAATTAAACAGAAATAATTCTATAAGTCTATAATAGGGCTCAAATGGTCAAATATCCGGCCATAACTCACATTCACAAATCACAAATTCACAACATTCAAGCTCTAATCAAGTGACGATAATCAAGTGGTGACATTCAAGCTTTTATAAAGTCATACAAATAATCAAGCACTAATCAAATCAAGAAATTTCACCCAAAAAAAAAAAAAAAAAAAAAAAAAACTCATACACTGATATAGTGATATTAAACATACTGATAATTTTGATTTAAACATTTAAATTGATGATTTCATATAGAAATATAGAATCTAATCTCTATAATCTTATTGCAATGTAATTATATAAATTAAAAGTTTAAAACTAACCTCAAAAAAATCGAATTTGGGGAGCCACTGCACGAGCACGACGCTAACAAACTCACAGACGGATTGACGATTTGACGGACGCCTCACTCATACCTGACGGAGAAGCACGAAAAGGTTGCCGGGCTGCCGGCGAGGCGGCGATACGGTGAACGGCGACGGGGCTTGGGTAATTGGGTGACTTTGAGACTTAGGGTTTCAATTTGGGGGAATTGGGGATTTGGGGATATTTTAAATCGTGAAATTGAGGTTGTAAAGCCCAAAAAAAAAAAAAAGTTTGAGAGTAATGGGAGTCGAACCCGTATCTCATATGTGGTAGGATGGGGAACAAACCACCAGACTACAAGCTAAAACTCTTGATACTTAGTTTTTTTTTTTTTTTTATAGAAAATAATAGGTTGTCCGCGGACCCACTATGACTACACGTGGGTCCGCCACTGCATGTAGGTGATTGCTCGGGACAAGACTCGATTCAAATTGACATATTTGGAGTTCCGATATTCAGGCTTGATGTCAAAACCACTCCTTTAATTGCAATCACCAACAACAACAACTACTACTACTCAGCAAGCTACACCACCACATCACCAATTAAACCCAGCAGCCATGATTGCCGCGGACGCGGGTCTTCAAGCTGCGGGCGCAGGTTTTGTTGCACCAAAACATCAAAATCGACCAAGAACTCTCCGCAGTCTTGCCACGGGCTCACCGCAGACGCGGCCCCAAACCCGCGGGAGCGGGCTCCATCACCTCGGGCGCGGTCGTCGTGCCCTGCTCCAATACAGTTCCCCTGTTCACGCACTTCCCCTGTTCCCGCAACATAAATCAGTCCCTGGTCCGCCACCAAAGCCACATTTTCACCACCAATATCCCGCAAAATCAGCCACCAGTAGCAGCCGCACCCAGCCACCACAACTCACGAAATATTGCGCAACACCAGCCGCAATAACCACCACCTTCGCACGACCTTCCAACCGCACCTTCAGCCCGCAACAACTCGCCTCCAGTCTGCAGCCCCGTAATTAACTCCTAGCAGCCCCATTCGACCTCCAAGTGAGATGCGCAGCTGGTTTTGAATTGTCATCTTTGATTTTGATGAAGTGTGTTGATTGAAGTATGATAATGCTGATTTGCGGTGTTGATCCAAGTAGGGGATAATTCCCAAATTGATGTCAGAGAATTCGAAGTCCACTGACTTTATTATTTTTGGGATTCTCTTTTAATTATCTTTCATTTTTATCTCTTTTTTTAATTTTTTTTTATTTCTTTTTACCTTTCTTTTCTTATTTTACTTTTCTTTTACTTTTATTTTTATTTCATTTCTTTTTCTTTTATTTTTGTTCTCTTTTATTTTTTTTTAACCTTGTAATTATAAATACCCATTTTTGGGTTGGAGAGAGAGAGACAAAATTTAAGAATTAGAATTAGAATTAGACCACATATTTCTTAGCTTTGTTGAAAGCTTCTCTCTCTAGATCTAGGGTTAGTTTTAAGAGTAGATTTTAGAGAGAGAAAATGAGGAATTTCAATGATTATTTGAGAGCTTGAAGATTCATGATGACAATTGTATTTAAGATCTCCATAATCAATCAAAGAAGAAATCTCACTTTATCTCCTCTTTATTGCTTTATTCAATTTCATGTTTGTTTGAATTTATTTTGATGTTTGATGCTTGATTAGTGTCGTTATTCTCCATATATTGTGAATTCTTGATTTCTTTAGTTTATTGTTGACAGATGATGATATTTGAGTAGTTGTTAGCTAGGAATTGGGTGAAACTTTTACGATTGATTAATTGTGATTAATTTGGGAATTGTGTTGATTGATTGTTGAGATTAAAGTGATTAGTGAAGGTTTGCATGTGTGTAATTCGATTAGGCCTTGAGAATTATGTTAGATTGCATTGTAATTCCTAATGACATGAATAATTGATTTAGTAATTGCAATTATCGATTGGTTTCTATTGTGATTCTCTTAGTTTGTTATTCATAGTGAACCCTAGCTTAACAATTAGGAGATAGCTCTTTGATTCCAATTGATTGCTCTTATCATTAGTCTTCACAACCTTTGATTGGCATGATCTTTCCAAGTTGTTGCAATTGACATGATTTCTTGTTGATCCCCCTTCCTAGTGTTTTATTTCCTTAGTTATTTGTTTTGTTATTTGTTAGTATGCTCTCTTACATTCGTCTTCGACCTAGCTTAGGCGCATAATTGAAAGTGCTTGAACATTATTGCTCCTTTGGGTTCGACCCTTAACTTGCCTCTACACTCGTATTTAGGTTTGTTAAGTGTTATAAATTTAGTTTGACCGAGGGAATATTAGATAACGACATAGTTTTCCCCTCGTCAATGGTCAACAAAAGGAATGTCCAACGGAGAACACCTAAAACCCTAAGCTAATGGTGTTACAGTCAGACATTGGGGGCAAACACAGAGGCTTTATTGCCACATTTAAAGGCCTTGATGCAAGAATCAATAGAGGCTTGACGCTAGATTCAAAGGCCTTGACGCTAGATTCAAAGGCCTTGATGCCAGACTCTCTAGTGGTCTTAACGCAGAAATCCCTTAGTGAAAAAGAAAGCTTGTAAAAACTTAGACACCTTTTCACTTTGGCAGATTTTTCAAAACTTCTTATCAAAGTATAATTTCGCCTATTTTGGCTCTACCACATAAATGAAAACAAGAGTTTAAGTTACTTTGCATAAATATCACAGTCAAGTTTCTACTAACAAAGTGAAACAGGAAACGAAGAACGCAAATTGTGCAAATTACAAACGGCCATAAACAAGGTGTCTAAAATGAAGCATAAGTTTTGGCTTGAAAAAGCAACAGTCAAGCAAAACATCAAAAGAAAAAGACATAAGCAGTCAAGCATCTCGAATAGCTTCATCAGCATTCTGAACTAGAGCATCATCATCGACTAGGGTGTCGGACGCGTCCTTGACGTCAACTGGCCTCGACTCAGGTGTAGACCTGCCTTCTTCAGCGTCCCCTTCGGTTTCAGACTCAATGTCAGCTGTAGTGCCTAAAGAGTGAGGAAGACGTCAATCTCTTTCTAGGAATCTTCCTTTGTCAAACGATCAGCTATTATGCAATTTAACACCTTAGAGTGACTCGTTAACTACTCCAAGCACTTGGAGCTTTTGGCATCCTCTTGGGCATCGACCAGCTGCGCCTCTAACTCAGACGCGTTCTTGGTCAGGTCACCTAGACTCTTATTCAATTCCTCAACGCTTTTGTTTAGACTTGCAATATCATTTTTTTTTCCTCAAGAACCTTCTATGCAGCGTCCAATGAGCGCTTAGCCTTGACTAACTCCTCATTGCTGGCATGAGCCTCCACTCTAGCAGTAGTGAGCGCAGACTTGACATTGTGCAGCTCCTTTTCATTTGAAATAAAATGGCTCTTAATGGCCAATAGATCTTGAAATGCCTACAAGAAGAATTATAAAGTAAGAAAATAAACACAAAGTACCCAACATTTTTCGGTAAAAAATAAAGAGAAAAAAGCAATGTCCTTACATTCAGTTGTAGATTGATGACTTTCCCCACTATATCAAGAGGCTTAAATTGAATTAAACATTATGAATAATGATGAGTTTCATTTATGGAACTCATTTAGCTTCTTTTAGGATGATTTTTAATTACTTTTGCATCTCTTTTATTTCCTTTTCTCAAGTTTTACTTGTATTTTCTCTATTTGGCATTTTCTTCTTTACTTGTTTGCTTTTCTTTGATTTTATGAAGTTGATTATGTTCTAGAAACTCTTCGATTCTCTCGGGGTATACAAGGCCAAAAATGCATCTCATTTCCCCTCTTGAAGCTCAAAATCAAAGGAGTGCAAGAGTCAAGTCTTCAAGGTCGCGGTCTCATGTCGTGTGGACATTAAAAGACGGTGTTGAACCCACCGTAAGGGATTTATGAAACTACTTCACCAACATGGATCATGTGGAGCTCATGGGGGCATCTTCGAGCGCACCCAAGGCATTTCCCTTGCTCCTAGGGCGCAGCCGCGCGCGAAGGAGGAGCGGCCGTGCAGGTGGAAGGCTCGGCCGCGCATCTCTCCTTCCCCTTTTTCCATACCCATTTTATTGCTGCCGCACGTCTCTCCTTCCCCTATATCCATACCAATTTTTTTTCTAAGGCGCATCTTTCCTTCCCCTATTTCCGTACCTATTTTGTTGCGGCCACGCTTAGGGGTGAGAGGCCGCACGTTTTGAGGTCACTTTTGGACGTCCAACTAACTTCT